TGGTGTCTATAAGTGAGTTTCATCATTGTCATCTCCACTGCTGACGTATTCCATTTTGGCTGTCAGCTCCTCCACTGCTTGACTAAGGTTGGAGAAAACTTCTTCATTGCCACACCTGTGAAAGTGCCGTGGATGATTGGAAGGTGGAAGAGAGAAGCGCGATCCTTTGCTGACTTTGTCCTCGTGATACAATTTATGCGTGGACACGATGGAGGCGATGGAGGCTGATGGAGACGATGCGTGACCACTTTGCCCCACTACTTGTCCACTCGATGCAAGTGGCGATGTGCGTGAGAAGACAAGAGGCAGGGGGAGGCCACTACGAGGTGGAAGGGAGGACACGGTGAGCGAGGATCGCCTTACTTTTTCCCAACTGCTTGTGCTCCAGACACCAGCTAGCCACATTCATTTTACGCATGGTTCAGGTCGTGGCAGTTGATTTGCACACCAATCGCCATTACCGATGCTGACAGAAGTTAAGGTGACAGCAAGCACCACCTCCAGCAGCGCTTTTGAGGTGAGATGAGAAATCTGCACATTTTGGCTACAAATTGACGACCAATTGCGTCTACTTTGCACGACTTTTAAGGATAAATGCGTGGTGCGCTACGACCGACTACAGCCCACTTCCCTCTCCCACCACTTGCCCGTTCTGCTAATGCAAACCCCAAGACTTGGGCTACGCCACATGCTTCTACTTCATTCAATGGGACAAAGGGAAAGGTTGGCTTGAGCAGCGGCTCCGTGGTTCAGTTCATTTTTCCATGTCTTTGTTGCGCTCACAGGAGTACCGCCAACACCAGGGACTGAAGCGCGATTTGTCAATGCGAGCCCACCGAAATGTGGACTCGATGTGCTCGGTCTGTAGAAAGGAAAGGGAAGGGGAATGTGTGCAAAATGAACCAGGAGTAGGAGGACGAGGAGGGCTCATAGCAGAGAATAAGTGATGACGTGTTTCATACAATCATTTCAACTGTGTGTGCGTGTGTGGAGGTGAAAGAGTGCGAAAATTTGTTGTGTTATGGCAGACGGTGTTGGGTGAAGCATGTGCTGTGCTGCGCGAGGAGAGGATGTCAATGGGGAAGGAAACGATGTTAGCAGTCATTGTAAGCGGTGGAGGCAAGTGGGTCAAAGTGAGAGCATCTTATCAAGCAGGTGGTTATGCGAGTGTCGGAGGCGCACGTGCAAACAACTTCAGATGAGGAGGCGCGCTTACCCGACGATGTCGTCACCGTGACGGAACCTGACAACAACACCACCACCAACAAAAACGGCAACAAAAACAAACAACATGTTTACTTGATGGGTGAGCCAAAGTGGCTAACAAGATAAGTTGTGTCAAAGTAGTTGCTAAATTCCACCAATTGGTTGGAAATGAAGAACTCTTCGAGGTCAAGTGGATGTGCGCTCACCTGACGAGGTTGTGGCTGAGAATGAATGAAAGGAAGGAAGGAAGGGAAATTGCGTTTACCTGATGGTTGAGTCAAAGTGTCGAGCTAATTAAAATGGGACACACTGCCCTCCGACAGTTTTGTTGCAAGCTAATGTTTGACTACCGAGGCCAACATGAAAAGTCTTTCCGTGCATTTGAAGGAAGCAACAGAAAGGGATTGGGGCGAGTGCGAGCCACGTACCTTCCGCCTCCCAATACTCTGAAAGACACATTTTACGGTGATGTGCATTTGAAGTGGTAGAGAGGGAGGACTTACTGTTGTAATGTGCCACCTCCGGCGACGCTCCTACAAGCCCAAGCGAAGGGTATCTCAACTACCGCATGTCACCGTCTTTTAGCAAACTTTCGTGCATTCATCACTTTGGTTGAATTTCACCGGCACCATCAAAACAGACGTAGAAGTGCCCCAAATAAGTAAATCGAAATCCTCTTTGTTTGGAGGAAGGAAGGCGGCGTGGAAAACGCTCAAATCAGAGGTTGTGTTCTTCACCATGTCGGCTACAACAATGGGAGCCACGTCCGATCAGAGGCATGCAGGTGACCGCCTGCAACAAAGGAGACACAGAAAACAGGAGAAATTTTACCGATGATGCAAGCTTCTCCAGGTCGTGGTGCCACTTTTTATGAGTTTGATTCTCCTCCATAGTGGTCTGGCAAAAAATAATTAACTTACAAATAATGCGGAAGTGGAAGTGCGTCACTATCGCTCCTTTGACGGCGAAGTCAATTTGAGGGGTTGCCTCACCTTTGACAAATTGTGAGAGGCGAAATGAGGTGCGCAGATCAACTTCATCTGTCGACAAGCACACCACCGTAAGCAGTCTCGTCGGTCTGACGTGCCTTTGGCAGGCGGTGGAAACTTGCAGTAGGCCACTACGAGGACTGGCAAGAATTGTCAGCCTTTTCTGCCAAGTTGAGTGCGTCAAATTGATGGTTGCATGTGCTAAAATGAAAGGAATGGCGACACAAATGATTGTGCGTCTCAACTTCCCATTTTCGTGTCTCGTCACCTCCTCTTTACTGCCTATAGTTGTTGGTGTAGAAGCGTTCAAGTCCTCTCCACCACGGCAGTGGGATGGTTGTCAAAAGGCAGTCGCAGGGTGGTGAGAAGAAGGCTTAAGAGGGACAAAAGGAAGGGCAGTCACACGTACCACCGTCCACACAACACGACTTGCCCCAGTACTCTTCCGCCTACTTTGCACTCGCCATCTTCAATCACCATCCTCTCTACTTGGAACGTCGAATTCCCAACCGTTGCTGTCAAACACAAGTAGATAGTATTTTCTCACAATTTCCTTTCACCTCCCAACTTTCCGAAGAAATTTTTACCCTCGAGCCCCGCGGCTTTGGACGCTCTTCCCCTTCAATGTAAAGGACATTTAGTTGGAGAAGGGAATAGGGAGAGGCAAGTGTTGCCGTAGAAGTATGCCAGGCAGAGCAGAAAGACGATCGCCTCCAGCAGACCTGAGGAGGCGTGACAGGTGACTGTCCTGCATGTATCCAAATGTCCTCCCACCCGCTCATCTCACCAAGCGGATTGGTGAGGAGGCTCTCGCACACCTCACTAGCCACCAGTGTGATGTCGGTCTCCTGCATCGCGAGGTCAGAGTTGCAGCAGGCAAAGTACATCAACGCTCTTTCGCCTCCAACGTTCATTTAAGCACTCCTCACATCCTCCACACCGAAAGCATGGAAGAAGCCTAAAATCTTAGCCTCTTGGTACGAATACAGTCCTCTTCTCTCACTTGCCTCCATGTCGTTGACAGCGGTGCTCTGTCCAATCTGTGGGGCTAAACAGTGGCGCTGGTAACTCTTGCACTATGTGGTGCTCATTTCACGTTGTGGCGTGAGTGATGGGATCGGCTGCAAATGAGTGCATTCCTCACCTCAAAATAGGCCTTCCTTCACTCCCTCTTCCCAAGTCATGAGGTCGTGCGGTCTACTGTGCTCCGATGCAACAAATTTCCACCCTCTCATGTCCATCAAAGGCGTGCAGGTCACCGTCACTATCGCTGACGGTGTCACAACTAGGTTCAAACTTACATCAGCACACGGGAAACCTTTGTCATCATCAATCATGTGTTCTGCTCTGACAGATTTGTGTGCCTTTCCTTTTTGACATTCTTTAATCTGCTACACCTTTTCCACTTCTTAGTGCTGTGACGCACCTGACCTTGGCTGCATGTCAAGAAGGAAAGTCTCAAAGGTCAGTCGCATCGAATGTGGTGTAAATGTACCGATTTCAATAAAAGAAACTATTTACTATTAGCCTTGAACAAAGTATAACAATGTCACAGCAAGTAACTGTGAATTCGCTCTCTGTTTGGCCTTCCATACAATGTCATCTGCAGGATGGGAAGAAACCACATTTAAAATTGTTAGATTGTGTGTGGGTGTGTCTGTGCAGAGTAGGTGTTATGGCACTTTACCCATTTGTTCCAAAAATGAAGGTCCTGGAGTTTTGCTAGAACGTGCACAGCAATTGTAGGTATCTTCACGGTTAAATAGGTAAAAAGGGGAGCTCGTGTTGGCACACACAAAAACAAACCACCACATCGTATGGGCATCGCCAAAGTACACCATCAAGCAATTGAGAAAGTGCCATCACTTTTGCATTCCTTAGACCAATGTCAACTTTTTCGAGGTTGTAAAAAATGAGGTGACATAATGCCTGTAGTGGAAAGCATCATTGACACCACGAGGTGAATCACATTGTGGGGAAATGTGAAAGTCCGACTCCTCACTGACGTCCACGCTGTCACTGTGACGCCTGACATCCTGTTCCTTCCGAGGTTGGGGAGGTTCAATCACCAATCGGTACAACTCTGCTTCTCAACACGCTAGTGCCACTAACACTACCGCAACGCAGATTGGGGAGGTGTGTCGAGCTAAAGCGTTACAGCACTTCTACTTAATACAATTCAGCGACCAAACACTTAAATCCTAAATCATTAAGGCAATGCAATTAGTAAGGAGAGGAAGGTATTAGGAAGGTAGTCAACAAGCTAGGGTTGGCGAAGTGAGGTGCAGTGCTATTTGTCTCATCCCATCAGGGTAACTTTGTCCATAGTATGGGAGTGGATGTTTTGCTTTTGGTTGTTCATGCACTTGATCCCATTTGCCCCACAGCTTCGAGCTCTTCATTTTCACCATCACTGTTTCCTTCCCATCAAATGCTTGTCTATTCCCCACAAGGTTATTCTCACTAAAATGCACCGTAGTGCATCATGTTACTGTTTTGCGTTAGTGTAGGAGAGGAATGAGGGATGCTGCACTGACACTATTATTTGTTGATGCTGTGGCCGTGAAGACGAGGCTGGTGGTCTTTTCGACACATCGTTTGTCACAAGCGAGAGGGTGGAGGGAAGTGCGACCTGAGGTGCTGTTGACTAGTAAAGCAAAGGGTGTTAACTCACAGCGTTTACTACTCCTCCCCTTGACTTCACCGCCATGGTCAAAATTGCTGCCTCGCTTCCACAGCCGACTGCTCGTTAACATCCTACTTAGAGATTTGAGCGTCTGGCGTGGATGGGCATAGGAGCCGTAGGATTCAGTCTCCGCTCCTGGGTTGATCATAGCATGGCTTTGCAGAGTTACTTAACCAGATGCTATTAAACACCAAATGATAGTGGCAATTGGGACGTTTGAGTTGAGGCCGTGGAGGCGTAGAAGACATGAGCGTGCAATGATTTGTTGATGAAGTAACTTTCAATAATATCAACCAACGCATTTAAGACTTTGGGCACTGCGCACTCCTGCATTCCCTTTACACAGACCTCGACCGGAAGGGTTTTCTTTCAGACGTCAAAATGAGGTTCTATTCGCCACGAAGACTGATCTCGCACAGCGCATTTCCCGCTCTTGCACAAAATCAAGGATGAGGAACTACCCTTAATCCCAAGTGAGAGCTCAAAAAACAAGGTCATGCTAGTTTCTGCGACTTCAATTCCGCCAGCTATTCGCAGCTGACTTCACCTTACTCCCTCACATATGCATTCCGACAAAAGACTTCCGCCCTTCCACATACTACTTAAGTCGAGTAGCTAGTAGTTACAAAATATATCGACCAATTTAACGTACCTGGCATAAATGCGTGAGAACAGAACAGCAGAGAATGCTTTCCCCTCTACTTGAGCCCAATTCGTTGCCTGTAGCCATTGTCGAAGCTGCGCTCGTAATGAGGACTTTAAGTGATGGCTCTAGTGGCAATGCGTCGCGCTACCATGGTAGTAGGGTGGTGGAATCTGTAGAGGTCAAATGTCACCACAGCCATGCTTCATGGGAGGCGACATTGTGTGATGTGTGTGTAATGGTGGACCTTCTCTACGCATTGTGAGCTCAGTAGCGAATGACACAGACTGTATTGCACCCTTGAAAAACCAATTTGGCATGATTTGTGTTTTCCTTTCAAATTTTGCTATCCACTGGGGAAATCTTCGCTCTGCGTCCACTTACGAAGACCCGTGTGCTGTGGTTGTGGGTGCGCATTCTCCCAGCTCAACCACGCAACGATCAAGTGCTGAGTTCTGCCGAGGCCAGAAATGGATGAATACGCAAATGCTACTGTATCGGTAAAAAGGTTGAATCGAGGGTTGGACTCAGAGCCAACGCTTTTCTTCCATCAACAAGAACGACATGAGCAGGTTAAACGAGCCTGGGAAAAGTCGTCCAGGTTGAAGCAAAGAGTGCCTTCATATACAGCCGATTAAACACCTTTCATCCATTCACTCTTTTTCTTTTATTCATTCCATTTGCAGCTACACACCTCGTCTTCCTTTCACTTCGACTAAAAGAGCCGCAGCATACTTTCCACTTGCACTCTTTTTGTGAATTTGTGACTTATTTTTGACCTAAAAACTGAGCAAAGCATTGGCATTCCTCATCAAGTGGAATACTGGCATGTTTGAATGGGCAAGTGAGTGAGAGTCTGACCTGGTGAAGGCGTAAAGCAGTGCGTGTAAGGAAAGGAGAAGCGAAAGTGGTGAACTTCCAACTCAATCATCTGCTCCTTCCAGACAGAGCTCAGTGAGAGTTAAAGTGCTTGAAGCAGTATCGCATATGAGGAAAGGCGTTGAAGTAACTACAAATCAGTTCCTCATAGTGTCTGCCAAGTAAAAATACCTTAACGCAGTACTTGTGAGATTGCGCAAAGCATTATTTCCCTCCTCCCCACAGTTTATCCACCCAACTGCAAAGTAAATCAAACAAAAAAGTGCTACTTACTTTTGGCCGGTAGATTACAAGCACTAAAACATTAAACCCGCACCACCGATACGCCACATTGAAGACACACAACTGGGTTGACTAAATCCTTCCAAATCCACAATCGAATTGAATGAGGGACCAGCATTTAAACACGGAAATGTCCTTCTACACAGTGGTCTCACTGGTAAGCAGGTGATTGGCAAAAGGATCACCGCTATCTCCCTTCAACCGAATAACAACCCACCTCATTTCCACTAAATTTGCCATGCCAATATGTGGGAACACTGAAAAACTTTACCTTCCAAATCATCTTGGACTAAAAAACTTCCTACTCCGTTCACAAGGGGGAGGGAAGGGGGGGAAGGGGAAGCGGCGTAGAGCTCAAAAATGCAATCAAATTTAAATAATGAGGAATGTTTAGTTGTACATTCGGCTGATTCGTGTCATTGGCAGTAACTGGTATTTGGAGGGAGGGGTGGGTGAGGATAGAGGGAGAAAATGGAAGGGGAAATAATCGACGTTTGCGGGGTAAGAAGGAGAAGCCAATCAGAGAGCAGCCGTCTTGGATGGCATCACAGACGAAGAAGAAGAAAAAGCGGGCTCCGGACTCGGCGAGTTAGCCTCCTCCTCCTCCTCCTCCTCCTCCTACTACTCCTACTTTGCGCCCTTTTTACGCACCTCGGCGAAACCTTTCAACAAATTTGTTGAAGCCATTTCAGGTAATGGAGAAACATAACAAGTGGTGCCTTCAAATCACTCAAAGTAAACTTTTAACTTGCAAAGGGAGTCTGCTAGGAATAACTTTAGCCATGCCACTCACTTTCGTAGTACACATTCTTGAAGGAGACAGGACGGGGTAAAATGAGGCTATTAAAGCGCTCAGCAAACTCGGTTGTTTTGTCAGCATCAAAGTCCAAAGAGGCTGTCCATATCTCCACCACAACGCTGGTGGGTCGTGGAGAGACTCCGACGCCAAGAACGGTGTTGTGCGAGTCCACAAGTTGATCTAGCTTCTCGCCCACTGCACTCATGGCCAACTCGCACCAGAGGTAGTCCGCACTCCCAACGTCCACGTTACGCAGACGCCATCGGCCGCCATTGGAGTACTCTGGCTTTTCCCTGTTTGAAGGGACTGGAGTTTTCAAAAGGCCAAGCACCAATATCGACAGATGCAAGGATGCAGAGGTGTAGGAAGCGTTAGTGAATATCTTCATGCCATCCGGGCGCATTAAGGATGAAGGGATGGACCAAGGGGGCCGGTTTCGGGATTACTAAATGAGCACATCTAGAAAGAACCGATTAGTAGAAGAACACCTTCACTTATTTTCGGTTGCACAGATCAGAAGTGAATGCTTCAAAGGATTGGGTACGATTATGCCAACTAACGGTTAACTTTCTCCATACAGAATGCCTAAGAAGCCATCGCTTCTCCTCAATATTTATGTTGACGGCATGCAGTCGAAAGCAGCTCATTAGACGAGCCATTGCAGTGGAAGAAAAGAAGTGCCACTTGCAGAACCGAGGGAGGAGGAGAAAACGAGTTCGTATTGCACTGTTTGACGACTACATAAACTGTTTCATGGATGGCTCAATCTCGTCATCACATTAAAAAGGTGAAATTGATAGTAATGAAAACATTCGATATACGACTCCCTTCTACACAGTGAAATTCATGTATTGAAGTGCAGACAACTCACCAATGTGGATCACAGGGTTCGCGCATGAGATAGAAAGCCTCGGTGTACTGAAGTTCACTCGGTTTTTCGGTCAATTTAAACACCTTCCAGAACTCCTCCACAGTGGAGCATCGCCCAAGACAACGAATTTGATGGCCTTCGCGTTTGGCGTTGGGATCACCATGCAGATCCTCTGGCAGTTCGTTAACTGAAAGGCGTCCCCAAGTATGATTTACTTAAAGTGGCGGATTATCTTGCGTTGCCCGCCGTTTCTCCACATCTTTCGTTCATCAGCGCCCTAACCGAGCGCGGGCTGCTGTTGTGAATGTCGTGATTATAAAAAAAACAGGACGGTCTCGAGTGGCGTTAATCGAGAATGCTGTGATGCATGCTTCGCCATACTACCTTGACCGGGTATGGCGACCTTCGAGCTGTGTAAAAAGCCACCATTCCTTATTGTTAGCTGAGTGTGTGAATTCCTCCCTCTTCAGGGCAGTCTAAATACGCCAATAAATTCTACTGAGGTGCAACGTTTGGCGTGCAATTGGTGACTATCTACATGGAAGGAGGGGGAGCGCCTAAACAATAGCTGGATGCCCCGGGAATTTAACCCATCTGAACCCGCTTGGTTGTTAGCTTTCCAGTGTTAGTGGTAGTAGTAAAACCATGTCCTGCTGTTGTACTATCTACAATGTAGACACGGCAACTTATTTGAGGTGGAGGATAAGTAGAAGAAGGAGTGGGTGACACTGATTTAGCAAAACGTCACCGTCTACTTGAACATGACATTCGTCATTTGTCACTTACAAGGCACAAGTGCAATGCTGCAATGCCAATTCGTCATTTGTTGCGGTCTCAAAGCCACCTAAGTCATTGCATGACGATTTGTGGCATGCTTAATTGCCACTGATTGAACACGGATGCAGATAGTACACATCAAGCGTATTTTGAAATAAAAAGCCCTAACAATTGTCTTACTGTCCCCTAAGTGCAATAGACGGAACCAGCCCTTTTAGGCTATCTTTTCAATAGTAATACGTCAAACGTTGTAATCAAAGTTTCACTGCGACGATAGTAAATAAACGTGTGGGCGTCACAAACATGATATCTAACTCAGCTGCTGAGAAGGTAATAAGCATCTGTCCGCGTCTTCAGCATGCTCTGATCATCCTTAGGCAACGGCAGTGGTATACCACTAACGAAGGATTTAAGGGACCGAATAAAAACGGTTGACGATTCACAAAGAGCATTGATAAATGATGTCAAAGCTACAGTTAAAAACCACTCACAAATAAGGGTAAAAGCTGTTCTGCGGGCAATCAATAAAAGGACGGTACTCACTGTAAAATATCCAAGAGGTATGAAGGGGATGTGTTTTCTTGAGCTTTGGAGGTTTTTCCGTGGAGTGCGAGCCGTCTGTTGCAGCAGATGAATCTGCAGCAGATGAATCCGCAGCCGCCATGATGAGCGAGGAAGCCCTAGTGCAAGCGAAACCTCGTACACAGCAAAAGACGTGACAAAGAGATCGTAGGTGCGCACATACGTGCAGCTACGAATCTCGTGTATTTTTCATTGGTTCACACTCCTCTGCGCATTAGGGATTGGTGCGTTCGTTGAATTTACGTGTGCATGGTGTGTGCAAGGCGGCTAAGTACTGACCCGTTCACACTTCGATTGAACACAATTTTGGTGTTATGTATTGGTTATAATTGCGCGTTGTTCTCGGTCCTGCAAGCAATGGACTTATCACTCCCGAGAGACTGTCATAATATTTGTCTCTTTGTGCTATCAACCCTTTAATTTGTCCAAAGGGAACTTACTGCGACTCCGTTTTGGATGAGCTAAGTGATAAATTTGGCTTTTCGATGCGAAGGTCACGCCAACCAATGATACGCGAAGTAAACACTAAGCCGACTCCCCATTGGTACCGATCTAGCCAATAGGAGAGGCAAGTAAAATGTTCCAGAACGTGGAGGCCCAGTAAACTTCAAGGTCGATTGAGGAGCAGTTTTCATAAAAGCGCCTTCCATTCCGCTATTTATGCAACTCTGACGCAATAAAAATGATTGACAATGCAGTTACAAACAACAACAACAATTTTTATTTGTATACACATGATAAGCGATGAAATATTTCATCTTTCGGCTCCTTTTTATTGGTCACATAACAGAGCATGAGCGGCTTCTAAGTGATTTTTTGGAAGCCAAAGCCAACCTGATAGCTGTATCGAAAACGGTTTTTACTCCATCCCCTGTTATTGCTGAGCATTCAACATAACCGTCAATTTTCAAACGCCTTGCCAGCTGAAGCCCCTGCCAAAGAAATGAATAGAAGGGAATCACGCTACCAGTATTTCATACGGTTGAGATGTTAATAACTTAACTTGCCCGATAAGCATTACGTCGTGGAGAAATATACGCACCTTAGAGGGGGATATGGTCAGCCCCTGTATGGATAAGTTCTCCCCGCTGGCATCCCTTTGGTCTGTTTTGGTTCCCACCAGAAGAACTATCGCATCAGGACAGAAGTGTCGAACTTCAGGAATCCACAAATCCCGTGCATTTTGAAAGGAAATTGCGTTATTCACATCAAAGCAGACAAGAAAGACGTTCGTTTGTGGATACGATAGCTGTCTCAACCGCTCATAGCCCTGTTGACCTTTACGAAACATGGTAAGGCTGGCGAGATGCCAGTTGTCTTACCGGCCGTGTCCCAGAGATTGAAAAGAATCGCGGTATTTCCGGCCCTCATTTTGAGGGCATAGGTATCCGCAACAGTTGGCACGTAGATACCGAGACTGCTTAGGTTCCCAAATGTGTAGCGGAGAATTAAGCAGGTCTTGCCCACCGCTCCGTCCCCGACGACGACACACTTGATAAATTTTTCTGTCGTTGAGCTTGTGGATAGCTCAGTGCTCATCCGATGTGCCAATTATAAGTGTGACAAAGTTGTGCTATTTCTAATCGTTTTAAGCGCCATCAGCCAATCATGTCTGTGCGTAGCTAAAGGTATGAGAATGATTTTTAGTAAACTCTAACCGCAAATGCAGGTGACATCCACATCATTAGGAAAACTCTAGGCTTATGCTTGTGTATCAAGGCCTGAAAAATGCATGTCAGCGGTCTGATGCAAAGTAGGCGATGTGAACATTGGCAAATAACATGTTTTATGAACTTTTGCCATCCTTCGGTTACAAGCACAGACACGATTTTAGAATAACTATCGGGCAAATAAGAAGACCTGGACAGATTTACTGGTGCACATAACACAGAGCCTGTCAAACAGGCCAAGGATGTTTTACAGACTGTGATAGTTGCAATGTACCATGTGAAATGAAGGTTATGACGGGGTGGAATGATTGTTTAGCCCGCCGTTAGTGGATGCCTCTCGCCGACTTGACGATTTTCTACTTCAACTCGCCGTCAAACGCCCCAACAAAACTGACAAATGTGACGCTAAACCCGAGCCCGAATGGAATCGGCATTTGACGTCCCACCCAAAGTTCAGCCACTTCACTGTGCTGTAGTTTATGCTAGGTAAGTGAAACACAGAGGATTAATTAAGGCATGACTTTCTACACAAGGCGCGCTACCGCAACTACACCATTGAAACTACCCGGTGGAAGGCACCAAATGCAAAATTGAACCATGGGCCTTTGCAGAAACAATGGGGAGACGTGTTTAAAACCATCCGAAGCACTGTGCCCTTGTGCTTGCCTTTTAAACCACTCAAAGTTTCAATAAATAAGTAAAAATTTTTGTCTTATACTTAAGCGTTGTGGCTAATAGTAAGTAGTACTTTTGAAGTTGCGTAAAGATAAATTTTGGAAAATTAACAATTATATGCTTCTACAAATTTAACCACTATTAAAGGAATTTGAATTTAACATAAGGGTAATCAGAGCTAAAAATAGTAGGGAGCAGGTTACGGAACGCCTCCCGGAGAAGGGATCGGAAAGTCAACGTCATTAAGTGGCCATCAATCCTTTCTAGGTAAAATAAACCCAATTCTCTAACTACTTTGAGTCCTTCGGGACTTAGCATAGCTTCCGCGGACTTTATTGCGCACCAGAAGGCACGATGCTTGCCTGAATGTGCAATATTAGAGAACACTGAAAGGGACGAGGGTTTTGACGCGGTTCAAAGGCCAGTTCACCCGCAGAAACGGCATGACAGTAAGGCGAATGAAATGAGGCAATTGGATCCTTTCTGTAATACGCCGCAATATGTCCAAACGGAGCACTTGAGTTATTATCAGAGGAGTGAATATGAGGAAGAGGGGTTTACAGCTAAATCATTGCAAAGAGCTGCATAACAAACAGCAACTTAAAGTTAAGGATTAAGGAACTGTTATAATGCTTTGTTTATTTTGAGACCACCTAATGCCTGAAGGCTGCTGTGACATTTGTCTTGACTTTGTACGCGTAGACTGATCTTAGAGTCATTCCAAGGTCCCATACCTTCTTCTTCCTCTTCCTCTTCTTCTCTTAAAATAAATGTATTCTGTCCAGTGTCATGCCTTCTTCGACTTGGTGGGAAGTCTCGGGACGCTACGCCAGCGGCAGTCAAAATCGGACCCGACATTTTGACGATTCCTCTCACGTCGCTAACCATCAATTAGATTTGTGCCGAAATTCTCTCAACTACATCCGTGTATAGGCGTCGGAAATGACGCTATAGACTTTCATATTTACAAGACTTGGTCTAATTTCGTCTTTTTCCTTCCTGTTCCATCCTCTAGTCCTGAAAGCAATTAGTAGCCAGCATATGTATACGGCTCTGATTCCGGCTGTCAGACCGAATGTGATTCCAGATCCAGTTGAAGCTGCTAAAGAACCAAGTACCACTTCTCTGTCTCATGATAGATATTGACTGGCGCACTCGACTCGCCGGTGCTCATTTGCACTACTTGATATGTAAAGATGGCTGATGCGGGAGCTGCACCAAAGGGGAGCTTCGAGGTCGTCGCTCAAAGAGGAGAGGGGTGGTGTAATAACATGGTTACGTGACCATCTGATATGATATGATATGCCCATGGCTCGTAAGCTGGCCTTCAGACAAAGCCAAGTTCCGATACCGTTTCCTTCTAAAATATAAGTACTTTATCTAACATGATGCCATCTTCCACCTAAGGAGTATCATCGAAGCGCCACAACTGCAACTAGCGAGCAGTCGGACATTTAAACCAGAAAAAAGTAACTATGAGAAAATTAGTATAGCAGAATCAAACTAAGATCCTATTAAAATTACTAGTGTTGCTAAAATAACGCCTAAAGAGAGTGGGTGAGAAGTTACAAAATCGAATCAACTAATGAGTTATTTGCTCAGAAGTGTCTTTTGCATTAAAATTTTTTGAGCCTATACTAAAATAATAAAATAAATTTAATAAATTATCGCAATGAACTTAAAATAGGGCATCATGTGCTTGCTTCGCTAGCCATAATTATGCACATTCATGGCTGATTTTGTTTTAGCTGGTTAGTAAGCGATCGGCGGATCTTGTGGATTGTTTTCGGGTTGTCCTTTTTTATTAAGGTCTTATTTATTGTACGTCTGCAATTGATTTCTTATCTATTCAAATAAGATAGTTCTTAGTAGAATAAAATGCAAGCGATTAAGTGCGTTGTGGTTGGAGATGGAGCGGTAGGGAAAACCTGCCTACTCATCAGCTATACTTCCAACGCTTTTCCCGGCGAGTATATTCCGACTGTTTTTGACAATTATTCAGCCAACGTTATGGTGGATAAAAAGCCTATTAATTTGGCCCTGTGGGATACAGCGGGTACGTTTGTCTGATCTGTTATTGTGTTGGAGATTATTTATCTTTGTCTGCTTGAAAGCATTTCATTCTCCTCCACTTCATTTGTATGATACTGGTTTGCGTCGTCTCCCACTTTTCGTGCCTTAAATTTTGCATTCGACCTTCGTGAAATACTTTATTTGTAACGGTTGTATCAATTGCCATGTCTTTAGGGCAAGAAGATTATGACAGATTGCGACCCCTGTCGTATCCGCAGACGGATGTTTTCTTGATCTGCTTTTCCGTGGTTAGTCCAGCGTCTTTTGAGAACGTGCGGGCAAAATGGGTGCCTGAAGTAAGACACCATTGTCCCAAAACTCCGGTTATTCTCGTCGGAACTAAACTGGATCTCCGTGACGACAGAGAGACCTTGGAAAAGCTAAAAGGGCACAAAATGGCTCCCATCACCTACCCCCAGGTTGTTCTTCTATGTAGTTTAATTCGTCTATGTTTACTTTCTTTGTTTCTAATTTTGACGCTTCATTCGCTGTCCAGCTCGGCTCACATTGTGCATGTGTGCTTTATTTATTCGTGCCATTTTCGGTGTGGGTACGTTGTTAACCATTCGAGACAGCCTTTTCGCAGCGTGTGAAAAGTTCAGCGTGACTAATTTTCTTTATAAAAGGCACCATTTTTCCGATCGGTTTGAATTTAGATAGTGTCAATTAATGATACGCCTTGATTTTATCTTTATGCGTTGCAAAGATTAACACTAACTTCAGTGTTTGGCATGTTTTTCACACCTGGATTCATTATACTTTAGCGAAGTCATGTGATCATTATGTGAGGCTTTTGCGTTTTCGTACTTATTCTTTCGTAATTTCGTCATATTCTTCACTCACCAGCCTCCACTTCTTGGTAGTAATTTGTGGGCCTGGTTTTGCATTGTTCAGTTGGTACAGTTGTGGGATGTGGTGGAGCTAATATTATGTTTAACATCTTGCTAAATGAAGGACACCGATTTTTTTTCCCGTGCCTCATCCCTTGTGGCATTAAACGTTGATGTTTGTCTTGTAAATGATGGATATCTGGTGCCATATTTCAATAACTTTGGCTCTTCACTTCTTATAAAGCCTGTTACCATTAGGTTTCTGCTGCCATGAGTATTTTTTTCGCGTGCCCTCTCGAATTGTTTTTTTAACTTTTCGTGGCCATCTGATGCAGTATAACAAAGGGCTTGACAACCCTCCCGGTTCGGGTTTTCGGAATTTTTAATCTGTCATCGATACGTTATGGCTCATCCATAACAATGCATCATTCAGCTTCGTCTTACCATTAGTTTCTGCCACTATTTCTGTCCAAAACTAATTTTGTGCGCGTAAGGCTGTCCAAATCCTTTGTACCTGCTAGGACCTCATCCAATTCCCTCAAATTTTATTTGTTCTATCTTTCATAGGCACCAATTACCGTTCCCACTCATTGTTGGCGGGAGCGTCTGTGAATTTCCTGCTAATAATGTTAGTTTTGAGAGTAATTGTTCTTAGTCACAGCGCATTTTTGCGCAATAATGTCCAATTCTCTGATTTCCCTGTGCCATTTCCACTTGACTAATCTGAATGAAACAGCCAAATACCAGATGCGAGTGCTTATACTGAGTGTAATAGTACTGCAGAGGTTTTCATGAGGGACGTTGCTAAACTGTCAGGTTTTCTTAGTACAAGTTTCTCTCTCGGTGACTATGCGATGAAATGTCAGGTGTCGATTATTTAGCTGGTTGCGCATATGGATAAAGCACGCCCTGATGGGGTAATGAACTTACATTCATTTTCTCTTTGACGATCCCATTTTTTGTCACTGCTGGGTGCCTAATCCTCTTGGTTATTTCCCATGGTTTTACCCCAAATTTAATCGCTCAGTTTCCGAGGTGTTGATTTGCTTTTGCCTCTATCTGAAATGGGTTTATAGGTTTCTTATAATCGGTGTTCATATTTCATGAATTCCCCATTCATCACTTTCATTCTACCCTATGTACAGTAAATGGGTCAAGAAAATACTTTTTCATAGAACCTGTAAAACATTAGTGTTTTGCAGTAATCCGTGGTGGCTGGGAGCTCTTTGTCTGTTTTCATTTTTGAATGAAGGATTAGGGCGAAATCATTCTTTTATTTGTAAGTGTATTCCTTTTTATGAAGGGAATTTGACTCCGATTAGATTCTTCACAGTTTGGTTTGCTGGACTGGTGCACTTTCCCACTTTCGAATGTTTGTTCGATGTGTTCCATTTTTGTATTGTTTCATTGGCGTTTAGGGCTGCCTTACTTTCCTCCCTTGTGTAGGGTGAGTCAAAAGTGTAGACGGGGGTGGAGGCAAATCATTCCTCCAAGCTCAGTGACTCATGTCTCAACATTCGTGAACTCACGAAACCTGGACTAGAGTTTTCCTCATTCACGAGCGATCGCTCATATTCGACCGTGCCAAATATCTTATCAAATCATCAAATTTGAGTCATTTCAATCAGAAATGTGGGGGAAAGTTGCCGTCGCTGAGCAATAGATGACTGGGAGCAAATGTAATGGCTAAAAGGATCGGTTCTTAAAAATAATGTATTTTCATTGGTAAAACGAAATGAAAGTTAATTTCAAGTGGTTAAGAGCTGTTTACTTCGTTTAGTGTGTTTCGACGGACGGAGGGCTAATGGCTCATGAACATGAGAATTAAAGTAAAGGAAGTCGTCATTACTCCAATTGCCCTTTTTCCTCACCCATAGGGACTGGCTCTTGCCAAGGAGATCAATGCTATCCGCTACCTGGAATGCTCCGCTCTCACCCAAACCGGTTTGAAAGCCGTCTTTGATGAGGCAATTAGGGCAGTTCTGATTCCACATACCAAGCTCAACAAACGCACCTGCAGTATTGTCTGAAGCGAACGTCCCTCCCGACCTGTCCTTTCCCTCTCCATTATCCCAGCTTCAAAAAGAAAACGAGGATGAAAGATGCTCCGCCCTGCCTCATGATTATCGATTTTCTGTCGGTTTTTTTGTCCATTCTATAACATCCCAACTCAACACACCTACACACGTCTCCTAGCCGCACATCCAGTTAAGTGAAAAGAAAGAAATGAAATTGTGTACAGTATGCGCTTGAGCTTTTTGCTCGCTCTGTCTCTCACTCTCACCCTAGGTTATTCTTCCTTTCTCTTCTCGGTGTGTTATCCCACCCTCCCTCTCGTCCCCTCCGCGTGTCTGTGTTTCTCTGCCTCTTCCTCCGTCTCTCTCCTTTGTTTTTTTCCCTTTTTTTCTAAGCGGCTACTGTCTTACTCTCACCCGTCCACTTCACTCCCTTTGCCCTAGCTCTCCTTTTACGCTGACTGAGTGAATGAATGAGAAATGAACGAATGAATGAATCGAAGAAAATGTCGTTAGACGCATCTCCACGGCTCTCCCTCTCTATCCAGTGTGTTGAGATTGGATTGACCTTGCGGTGTTGTGGGGAAGATTCGCTCGTGAAATTCCCAACTTTTGGCTGGCTGATTCGTGGTAGTTTGTGGATTACTTGGCCAAAATTCTCTAGCCTACAGTCCTCATCTTGAGCTTGGAATCCGAGTGTATAATCGGAGTGGAGGTCTAGCATGAGTACGGATCGACGTTAAACGGTTAGAACTTTTCTATGCATGTTTAATGCGTCCATGACCTACCACATCGCTTCCATTCCCCTTTATGTTTTCCTCTTGTTGTGGGTATGCACGCGCTACACTCCATTGAGCTGGAAGGTTAGCAACGTGAATGTCCTCGAAGTGATGCGTTTGTTTAATGCCTGCTAGTGAAAATGGTAAAGATGGATGCTTGGGTGCACAATGTTGTCCACGGGATGGAATCCTTTGGAGTGGCAGTTTGTTAACGATTGGGCTCGGTTTATCTTTCTGCGGGTAGTATGGAAGGACCAGAGAGTGGTGTGCATCGACGGTAGGGTTGTTCCTGAAGTCATAGCACTCCACCGAAGATATGTCGTTGGGGTGGAATAGCGCCAGTGGTTACTTCAAGTCCATTACTCTGGATGAGTTCTGTTGTAGGAGATTTTTATGGTTTTTAAATGTCTGTGACATGTTTGGTTGTGTTTTCGTTTCCTTGCGCCTTGAACCACCGTTGAAGGGGTGAATTTTATTTGAACGTGTTGACTTTACGGATGGAGCTTAGCTTAGCCTCTAAACTGTGGAGTCCTTTCATGCTCAAGTCTGTGTGTGTAACGTTTTTTTTTTTTGAGGGAAATACCTCTGATTGCACTGCTCACATTCCTTTGCTATGACTTGTTTATGGGGCTCAAATTAGCTGAGTTGGGTAGTATGGGGAGAAGTTGACAAGACTGTTGAAATTGTGGAACTCGTGCTTTCACATCGTACAGGCCATAAAAGTGATTTTCTTGTAAGGTGCGTCAGCAACTCATATTCCAGCGTGTGGATGTTCCACTTTCTCGTGTTTGGCATGGCGTATTTTTGGGTCTATGACTGCTCTCATTTATGTGGAAGCAAGGGTGACGGTCGGAGTCTGAGAAGTTAAATGGTCGGTGTCCAGCATATGACATCGCGAACAAATTAAATGGAAATGCTAACAATGAAGGGGACTTGTGTTCTTATTGGGAGCGTCGAATTCAATGTGTACTGGACTTCTTTAAGAGAGGAAGTCGGATCTGATCTTCTGTGGGGGGCTCACCTACAGACCATCGAAATTCAAGGATGTCGAGGTCACGGCTAGTGACGATCCAGGTTGGGTTGTGACTGTCTCCTTCTCAGGTCACTTCATGGCGATCATCGAACTCGTAGGCTTAGTGCATTGTTTGTTGTGGTGCTGAATTGTTTGGGTGAGGGAATTCGAGCCTTCGGAAGACCTTCCAATGGATCAATGTACGATATCGTTGGCGTGCAAATGGGGTAAGTAAATTTACAGCCTTTCCACGGTCTTATTCAGTGTCTTGTACACCAAATCTCCCTGTTGTTCGATGCAAAGGTTCAAAGTACATGTGGCTCTGTTGAAGTGAATCCCAACACCTCACTTATCACAAACCTTTTCAGGAATAGCCTCAAGTTGTAGATGCAGTTCAACTGTTAGACTGTAGTCCATCCGCTTTTGGCTCGTTCTTTTTGGCATTCTTGCGCCCTCTCTCGAGACGCCGTCCTTTTGACGTTTTCGTCACTTCAATCAGTCATACGTTTGTCTGTTCGACGGTCGATGTAACCGCGCTTAGTTCAACTACGAAGGATAAGACCTTCATCAGTTTTGAAGAAAAAGCCACTAAATTGTTTTTGCTCGAACTCGCCTTCAGCTGTTCTCTTCCATTGCGTATTCATCCGCTAAATCGGCAATTGACTTGTCTAGTATCTTGTCAAAGCAATTACCATGGCGCTTCTTTCGGGGACAAATTCCTCTGCTTAGTCGTCCCTTTGTTCGACCATCCTAACGGAGTTCTCCCCTCCGATTACATGGCTGGAACTTGTTTACCAACTTCTCTCCGACCTATGGCATTGGAACCCGCCCAACCTCCCATCGTCTATTCATTCGTCCATCACGTGTCCACCACTTCATGCGATGTTCACTTTCCCCCTGCTTTACCCTTTCATTACCTCCAATTTGCACATTCACCTGCATCGGTCTCCACCTCTCCATTCACCATTTCATCAAACATCTGCACATCCAACGGTTCATCAGAATCCTTCCATTCTCTTAGTGGCAGAGAAGGACTATCCCCCCACTTTTCATCAAATTCTGCCTCCTGAAACACGCGGGCTACGTAAATCCTGGCGCACCTATGCGTACACACACACACACACGGGGTGGCATAGGTCGGATGAGTCACCGTGCCGACACATGTGCTGCAGGTCCAAACACCAGAGGCGCCATGTGATTGGCTGGAAGAGTGGAAACAGTGTCACCTCCAAATTGATTATTGTAGTGGACATGTCAACACCGTCAGTCATTCGACGCTATTGATCAATGCTTTTTCGGGTCTGTGAAGATGGCAGCACTACAAAAGTAATTTATTAAATTGCTTGAAAAGTAGGGAGCTAATTGTTACACGGGAACTAGTTTGGATGCTGTCCTAGCACTCCAAAATTTCCCTGAAAACGAAAATAAAGCATGGCGCTTGAACTGAGCGTGTATGATTGGCGCAAAAATAGGGTTTGGGTCCAGTGACGATAGTCCAGAGACTAATCCATCTGAACAACGATTCAATGGCGTGGAGACCTGAGGTGACTCCTCCATAAAGGCAAATCGAAACTGTGCCAAGCGATTTCTCTCTCCCCTCAAGTGTCGTTCCCTTCCTCCAGCGTGGCTTTTACTAAACCATCCTCGACTACCACTGCGACGTTATCGCTGCTGCGGTGATATACCTGAGAGTCAACCGTACCAGTCATCGAATGTCCGTGTAGCCAAGGCGAATCTTAACAACAATGCTATCCCACAGAAAACCAGGGAATCAAAGTGATGTTATTAGTTGTTAAAACATCTTTATATTGCCAACCCCGATTTAATTGTTTTTGCCTAACTGTGTAGCTTGCCATTCTGCGGTATATTCAACGCAGGAGTGACTAGCGTTTAATGAACTTGATCAGTTGAGGTTAGCATACTACTTAAGTTTATTTAATGCTACCAAGTAGTGATGCACCATTTAAGAAATTGGTCAAGGAAAATAAATAGATAAAAAGCATAAGTAGCTTTGCTCTAGAAAGGAGTTCTTGACACAACGAGTGTGATTTCGCCCAACTCGACAAGCTCTCAGATTGGCCTTGTTGATCTGCCGTGACGCATGACCAACACTGCAAATCGGGTTTAAGACTCATGGTTAGCTCATACAATAACCTTACCAAGCAGTTCACACAGCCAAAACTGCTTCGACTTGTGTCGCAGAGGTGCATCCACACAATCACATGATAGTCGAAAAGTCGACCTTATTTTCTCAGGACTACACCGGTGATGTCATTTTAGAGCTCAAGACGTGGGAAACTTGCCACTTCAAAAAAAATTCATAGCCTTTGAATAAGAAACACAGAGCAGATTCTAGATTTTTTCTCCTCTCCTGACACAATCAAGATTCAGGGATCCCGATAAAGCAATTCGAAATAAAGTTGTCTCGATTAGGTGATCGCCTCGGAATCCATTCACCCCTGTTGGGCGGTGGTGCATGCGCACCCATCGTCATTTCTTTATGGCAGTTAAACATTGGTCGGTCGGCAAGGTGTGTGACATCTAAACAATAATCTCGCGACACAATCACTGCTTTTTGGAGGTGTTCTTCCCTTCCTTATAATTCCAAAATCCTTTCCCATTACCTATTACAGTCATCTCTTTTGCCTGTAGCTATGACACAAGATAAGGAGAGGACACAAAAGCCTCTAGGCTTTCTGTAGAATCCTTTAATAATTTCTACTTAATACAATAGGTGACAGTCGCCAACAAGCTTTAAAAACAAGCAGATGACAGTTGCCGGTAGTAGCGCACCACATTTTTCCAAAAAAGCAGACGAAAAAACCAGAAGCAGTAAGTGGAGAAATCTAGTTAATTATGCATAACTTTATCCTTGCCAAGTCGTCATGCTTGTTCATCAACTTGACTAAGCCGTAAGTGTGTTCAAATGGGCGTGTGGGGCAGCACTTTGTCAGGACCAAAAAAACCAGACCCGTCAATCGACACAAATTGGGCACTACTAGTAGCTAAGACTTATTTGATAATTTAAGACTTCCAATTAAGTTCAAATGAAGGGGGCGAATTTTGCTCTGAATTGGGTCAACCTGCTAAATTTTTTAACAAAATCCATTCAATTTTACAGAATAGTCGGAAATTCAGCCCATTAGGAGGAAAGAATAATTGGTTTGCAGTCAGGAAGCAACCGCAACACAGACGGATACGTCTGAGCACCCAGGCTCAGGTGAAGCGAGCCAACTAATTGATTATGACTTTTAGTACGTCCGTTGGGCCGGAAATTATTGAAACCACCTATTTCTGGTTTATCGAAGCTTAAAGAGCATTTTTTTTACCTCATTGTCGTCCTCGCTACGGCGCCAGGAAATGACGCGGCAGACACAGGGACAGAGCCTAGTCATCCACTACAAAAACAACACTTTGTTTCAGTGATCGAATGGGTGATTTGACTGCTACGGCTGACTGCTTAAGTTAGCAAAAGTAGTCAACCGTAGAGGCGGGCAAGTTTTGCATTTGCTCCGGTGAGGATGCAAACTGGTCTCCCTCTCTTGCTCTTATTCGCATTCCTAATTCAAAGCAGCATAAATTTTTGAAATCCTGTTTTGAGGTGCTTGTCGAGTGTTGGCCACAGGCAAATGGATATATTTTGCTTTGATGACTTAAAATGTCTACCGTTTATCTTAACTTAATAAAGTGAGGAAAATTGCCAATCTAACAGAGATGAGTGAATATTTATTACTAAAGGCATGCATATTTAACCATCATATCATTTCAAGAACAGCCGACTGAGAACGGTAGTCATTGGCTTAAAGAGAATGATGATCTGCAGTTGATTACCTTTTGCTTTAGATCAAACTAGTGGCCAATTAAACAGTGAACTAATTAGGGTGAGAGGTGCTTCTTACGCTTATTTCGCCCACTAGAGTTTACTCAAATGTAAGCACAATAGACTTAGGAAGACTACAGAGGTCTGTCCAAGCAATTACATTCTAGCCGGTTTCGGCTGTAGTGCCACCCAGTTCATAAAAATTTATTTACCTTAAAATGGTCGATCGTATGAAACTAGTGAATGCAATCAATCGCGAGTGGTTAATGCATGCTAGACAGAATGACAGGTTTACTCAGCAACCCATAATGCATAGAAAAAGAGGAAAAACGGAGTAAAAAAGTGGCACATTCATGAAATTGCGCTATGATTCCATAATCTTCTTCATTTGTAATAAATAACTACCAAATCACCATGCTATTAAGCATTACCGAAAAGAGTTAGCAATGGAAGCGGGGGAAGGGCAAGTTAATGGTCAACCAATCGGCAACTTGTGATTGGCTGATTATGCGACCACGCGCATATCGATTGCAACCAATGAACGCACCCCTTCTCCAATAACTACAACTCCACACCACTTACACATACCATCAGATTGCCACCGTCACACTGCGTCTCATAATCCCTTCTCCCTCTCCCAACCAACAGACAGGCAATGCAATGTCCCCACTTCCCTCTACGTGCCATGTGGTGCGAGTTCCACATAACACGGGCGCTGCTGACATGCAAAGGAGACTGGAGGGTGTGTGACTCCACCAACACTGCGCCCACACACCGAATCCCACCATCTACCACCACATCCAGTGTGCATTCACTCCCTCCTTCCCATCTTACCCTGTGTGGAAGGAAAGGAATTTCGAAAGTCCACGATTTGCTTCTCTTTGGCAACAGAATGGTGATTGGGGAAAGAAATCGCCTCTCCCACTTTCCACGTCCTCCTCCTCCTCCTCCTCCTCCTCTTCCCCCTCCTACTAAATAGGATTAGTGCCTTCCCTTTGTCATGACACAATTACTAA